ACCTGTGCCAGGGCCTCACCACCCTCTCAGGGAGGAATTTCTTCCCCATATCCAAACTGAATCTGCCTTCCTTCAGCTTGAAGCCATTCATTCCCCTTGGAGTGGCACAGGCCCTGGAGCGGGTGAGAGGAGCCCATGCACTGCTCCTGCTCGCTAATAATTACTGATTAAGAACTGGTTACAAAGGCAGGGAGGGCTGAAATGTGCATTAATCAGTGACCCTGCCTTGTGCCAGCCATGGGGAGATGGCAATGGGCACAGAATGAGCCCTGGCAGTGTCCCCATGGCCTGGTGACACCCAGCAGGGACCTGTCACCTCCTGCAGGTACAGAGCACGGGCTCTGATGTGACATTAACATCAGCAGGAGAAAGTTCCTGCTTTTGCCTTTTCTAAGCCCACAATGCAGTTTGGCCACCAATAAAACTGCTCAGGGTTCGTACAGGGCTTTACCTCTTCAAAGCAGCAGCTTGTTCCTCTCAGCCCCTTTCATGCAGACATCCAAAGTGCTTCCTATCCTTTCACTGCCTTTTGATGGGTGGGGAATTCCTCTTTTTTGATAGTGAAAAAGTGAGCCAGGCTGGGCTGTGGGTTCTGAAGGCTCCTGAGTGGAGACAGAGCCCAGGCCAGGTCCCATCCCTGTCCCTGTCCCCATCCCTGTCCTGCTTTGCCCCAGCACAGGAGTTACCCAGCACATCACAGCCCGCACATCCCGCATATCCCACACATCACATCCCGCGCATCCTGCACAAACAGAGCCCCGCACATCCCTCACACCCCACACATCCCGCACAATGCAGAGCCCCGCACATCCCGCACATCCTGCACAGAGCCCCGCACATCCCGCACAAACAGAGCCCCGCACATCCCGCACAATGCAGAGCCCCGCACATCCCGCACAATCTGCACAAACAGAGTCCCGCACAATGCAGAGCCCCGCACATCCCTCACATCCCGCACATCCCGCACATCTCACATCCTGCACAGAGCCCCGCACATCCCGCACATCCCGCACAATGCAGAGCCCCGCACATCCCTCACATCCCGCACAGAGCTCCGCATATCCCGCACATCCCGCACAGAGCCCCGCACATCCTGCACATCCCTCACATCCCGCATATCCCGCGCAATGCAGAGTCCCGCACATCCCTCACATCCCGCACAAACAGAGCCCCGCACATCCCTCACATCCCGCACACCCCTCACATCCCGCACAATGCAGAGCCCCGCACATCCCGCACATCCCTCACATCCCGCACAATGCAGAGCCCCACCGCAGCCAGGCGAGGCTGCCGTCCCCGCTCCCAGCCCAGCCCCGGCCGCTCCACAATGCTCCGCCATCAGCAATCAGAATTTCCTCGCCGGCCGCTCATACAAAATCAAGAGGCAAAATAATTGAGTCAATAGCGCTGCGAAAGGATTGCTCCTTCAGCCCCATTCTTGTGCTAACAATCCTCCAGCAGGGCCGAGGATTCAAAAGCTCGGGGAATCAAAAAGGAATTGATTTGATTCAGAGCTTTAGCCCGGGCTGTATTTAACACATCATTTCTGCTTGCTCTACATAGAGTAGAAACTGTTTGAAGGCAGAGACGGGGGAGCACAGGAGCAAGAGAATATTCTGGATGTGCTGCTTTTCCGAGGGGGTTGGACACACACTGTCCCCCCAGAGAGACCCTGGGGACCCACACAGGGACACCTGGGGCTCCAAAT